ACGAGGAAGGGGGGGGGGGGGGGTAGAGAGAGGGAGAGCGGACACACGGGGGGAGGAGAGCGGGGAGAAAGAGGGCGGAGAGGGTGGAGGGGCGGTGCTCACGCGTTGGAGGAGAGGGCGAGGAAGGGGTCGGTGGTCACGCCGAAAACAGCAGGCACCTGCTCGCCGCGGAGGGGCGGGGGAGGGCGGGGGTAGGGCGGGGAGGGGCGGGGAGGGGCGGGGAGGGGCGGGGAGGGGCGGGGAGGGGCGGGGGAGGGCGGTTGGAGGAGAGGGCTGAGGCGGGGAGAGGTTGGGGCGGGCGGGAGGCGCCGAGTCGACGGCGAAGACAACGTCGGAGAGCTCGATGCAGACCAGGGCGAGCAGCAGCGGGGTGGCGACGCGCGCGCCTGGAGTCGGGGGGGCGAGGGCGGGGCTTGGGGGCTGGGCTTGTCTTGCCGCCGCCTGTGGCGCACGTGAATCTGGGTGATCTCGGGCGATCTCGGGCGATCTCGGGCGGCGCGCCGTCCGCGGCTCGCGTGAAGAAGTTGTCGCCGTCGTAGAGGTCCGTCGAGGGCAGGTAGCGTTTGGTGGCCTGCGGTGGTCCGTGGGCAGCGCTGTGGTCGGCGTGTGGTCGGCTAGGCCGAGTCGGGTGATGAGGTGTGGTGATGTGTGCTGGTGAGTGAGGATGTCTGGAGGGGGATGTCTGGAAGGGGGGGAGGGGGTTGTCTCGCCGCCTGCACGATCGCGTTTTGCGACAAGTCCTCCTCGTCGTCTGAGCCGGCGAGGATGCCGTAGGCCGAGTAGAGCAGGATGAAGGCGCAGGGCAGCAGCGCGAGCTTGAAGCGCTGCAGGCAGGAGGGGAGTGTGTGGGGGTGTGGGGGGATGGTGAGGTGGAGGGTGTGGGGCGGCGCCGCAGACGTGCGGGCCGAGGAAGAAGGGCGGGGGCGAGGAGATGCGGAGGAGGAGGAGGAGGGCGAGGCGGGGGAGAGGAGGGTGAGGTAGACGGGGGGCGGGGAGGCTGGGGACGGGGAGGCAAGCTGGCGGGGGCGAGGGAGGGAGGTAGGGAGGGAGGCTAGGCAGGGAGGGAGGTAGCTCAGGTAGCCAC